CTTATACTGAGTTCAATATTGTATAACTGTATTAATTCAACTGTGAACCTAGAAACTTACAGCCACTTGTGAAAGAGATGAACTCTTGCTCTGGAGTGTGTTACTGAATATGTTAGAGCTCTAATGAAATGCTTCTTCTAATCATGTAGTTATTAAAAATTTTAAAAAAATAATGGTTAAAAAAAAAGAAAAGAAAAGTGCTTTTGGAGGCAGAGTCTCGCCATGTAGCCCTGGCTGGCCTGGAACTTGCAGTGATCCTCCCGTCTATGTCCAGCAGAATCCCCAAGGATTACAGGCATGTATAGCCATATCCAGTGCATTTTATATCCTTACAAGATGAACCTAATCAGTCTAACCTGGTGTCTCATGCAATATGAACAATAAAGTCCATGTTACACGTTCAAATAAAAAAAAAAATCTTGATTCCAGCCAGGTGTGGTAGGGCATGCCTCTAATCCCAGGGACTCAGGAGGCAGAGGCAGGTAGGTCTCTGAATTCCAGGCCAGCCTGTCCTACGTAGTGACTTCCAGGCCAGTTGGGGCTACAGGGAGACCTTGTCTCAAAAAGACCAAAAATAAAAATCTAGATTCATGAGAGAAAATGAGTGATATTCATCTCTGAACCTGGAGCATGATGGCCTTCATTCAGTTCCGTTTTCCTGTAAATGACATAATTCCTTTCTTCTTTACAGTCAATGAAACTCCATTGTGTACTGACCTTTTTTCTCTACCTCTCTGCTGCTGATTCTGCAACTTGGCTGTACACTGGGCTTTCTAGATTTCCTTTTTCATATAAGCCACTGACTATTTCCTATGTTTCATTTTGTTAAAACTGTTGATAAATAACGCTGGCAGAATTCAGTTATACAACCTGCATCTCGGGGAGAAGCTTATCTTTTGTGTTCATCACTGTATCCCCAGCATTTATCTACTTGTTCCTCAAAGCAGTGAAATTGTGCTTTCTGAGGTCATCCTATATCCGAAGCTGATGGGCATGCCAGCCTAAATAAAGATAGAGCCTGAAGGTAGGAAACAGACCTAGATATAAATAACTTCACACAAGCAATCATGTGGGAACAACAGTAGCATATTAAAGTTGTATAAAAATAAATTGTTTGGGAGCCGGGTGTAGTGGCACATGCCTTTAATCCCAGCACTCAGGAGGCAGAGACAGGTGGATCTCTGTGAGTTCAAGGCCAACCTGGTCTACATGGCAAGTTCCAAGCCAGCTGGGCCTACAGGGAGAACCTGTCTCAAAAAGAACAAAAAAATAAATAAAACAAGTTATTTGAATTTCCTGTTAGGGCTTATGTGTTATTTTGTTCATTCGTTCTTGGAAAGTGAAAAAACGGAGGATTATTTCTATTTGTTTTTCTCACTTTTGGGCTGGGAATAGAAGGGGGCAATACCAGGGCCTTTTGTTCAAATAAAACAGTAGGTAAGGCCAAAATCTACAACTTTATATATATATATATGACTTTTTTTTCCTTCTGAATATATGAAGTGAATGCATTTTACTACTTGGTCTATTTCATATATCTTAAGATTTGTCAAAAGTTTTTAGTCATGTGGGAAGTTCTCCAGAGCAATTATAGAAAAGAAAGAAAATCCAAGTTAGGTTTCATCTACTAGTTTTTTGTTCTTCCTTCCATCATGGCTGACACTCCAAAGATCCAAGGATGAGTGTCTTCCCAAGAAGATCCACTGGCATACGGAGGCGAGGCTGATCAAGCAAGGTCCCTCTCTGCTTGGTCCCAAAGCACATAGTCAACTTCTGACTTGCTTTATTGCTTAATTTTTTCATTGTATTGGTTGGTTGTTTCCTTTCCTCCATCCATCAGTCTAATTGACAGAACTTTTAAAAATATTTATTTGTAGCCAGGCGTGGTGGCACAAACCTTTAATCCCAGCACTCAGGAGGCAGACGCAGGCGGATCTCTATGAGTTCAAGGCCAGCCTAGTCTACATAGTGAGTTCCAGGCCAGCTGGGGCTACAAGGAGAGCCTGTATCAAAAAGACCAAAAAAATTTTTTATTTGTTTTATTTATTTATTTGTGTGTGTGTATACATGCATGGCAGGGGTACACTTGTCTACGCATGAGCACGGAAGCCAGAAGAGGGAATCAGTTGTTCTCTCTCTCTCCACCTTTTTCCTTTGAGGCAGCATCTTTCCCTGAATCTGGGGCTTGCATTTTCTAGCCTAGGCTAGAAGCCAGCAAGTCCCAGTAATCTTCCTGTCTCTGCTCCACTTGGAAGTGGGATTACAGGTTTTATGGAAACATCCAGTTTGGCATGTGGGTGCTGGGATCTGATCTCCATTCTCATGATTTTGGAGCATAAGCTCTTAACTGATGAGCCATCTCTCTAGCTCCAGAACATCTTTTTTTTTTTTCCCTTTTGAATTGTTCAGTTAGAGTCCAAGCAGTAGAATGATTTCTGGGATAATAGAGCTGTTAAATAACTTCATAACAATGAATAATCACGTATTTTTTAGATAGCTTGTCCTTGTTCAGTCTTGGCTGGTCTGGAACTTGTTGTGTAGACCAGGCTGACCTTGAACTCTGCCTGCCTTTGCCTCCTAAGTGCTGGGTTTAAGGACCTGCACCACCACACCTGGCCTGTCTTTTTTAAAAAAATTCTGATTTATATTTGTTTTTAAATTAAATACACTATTTTTAGAACAGTTTTAAGGTCACAATAAAACTGAACAGGAGGCACAGTGACTTTCTACATGCCTCTTGTACCCTGGTCTTTGCAAGAGTAGTCAGTGTTCTTAATTGCTGAGCCATCTCTCCAGTCCCCACTTCTAAAGGAATAAAACAGAAGCTCCAAGTATACTTTGGGGGTTGGAGAAGGGAGGATGGTGTCCTAAGGGTTCAGGAATAGTGGCCTTCAGATGGAAACTGCATTCATTCACTCATCCCATCCATGCAGCTAATGTTTGTGGGAGCCCTTTGTAGGCAGTCAGGTACTGGGTACTAAAGTGTGTGGGCCACCCCTTTCTTCTTGAAAATTTACCCTCTGGCTGGGTGCATGGGCCATGGTTGTAGGCAGTCTATCACACTCTGCATCTGCATGTGGGCTCAGGACAGGGTCACTGATCCCAGGCTAGGCAAATGCTTACATGTCATTCTCTCTCTCTCATCTCTTTGAGCAGATCAAAGAAGGAGGAAAAGCTGACTTGGTGAGCTCAAGACTGCAAGCCGGAGATGAAGTTGTGCACATCAATGAGGTGGCTCTGAGCAGCTCCAGGAGAGAGGCTGTGTCCCTGGTAAAAGGGTCCTACAAGACCCTCAGGCTGGTAGTGCGCAGGTAGGTGGGCTGGGGCCCCAAATTTGTTCTTTCCAGCACCTCACTTGGCGTGCAGCTTGTCTTTAGACCCCTGTGCATGGAGGCGGAAGTAGTGGCCGTCTTCACACGTGTTTTTCTTTCCTTTTCTTCTTGCTCATGCTATGGTATGGGAGAGGAAGTAGGGTGAAGACATTTTGGAGACTGTCGCTCTTTTGAAGCCTTCATTTTCCCAGTTGGTACTGGGTTGTCAGGGAGAGGCCTCACTGTACTTCCTAAATTTCTAGGTTTGATAAAGTCTGACACTCATCCCAGATGTGATCAGAACTCTTATAACCTTGTGTCCTGAAACTAGTGAAAGCAGTTGAGTTGGAGCTAATCCAGGCAGCATTCCATTAGCCACACTACAACACAGGGTTTTGTCATCTGAGTAGTCCTGACTCCTCTATTGAGAAAGGCTTACTTGTACTTTGAATAGCTCACAGTATCTTCATGTCTAGGAACCAGCTTTTGGTAGAGGGAATTATTAATGGAAAAGGGAAGAGACTTGGTTTATTCCTCCCTGTTATAAACCAAGTGCCGTTTGAGGCATTTATCACATGTTAACTCATTTACTCCTCACAAGAGCCCCATGAGAGGAGCTGGTCATACGGCTTAGTGGGTAAAGGGGCCTGCTGCCAAGACTGACAACCTGAATTTGATTTCCACATGGGAATAAGAGACAACCAAATACTGAAGACTGTCCTCTGATTTCTACCCATATGTCATGGCCCATGTGCATGCATACACACAAATAAATAAATGTCATCTCAATTTTTTTTTCAAAAAAGGAAGAACCCCTTGAGATAGCTCCAACCATCCCCACTTTACAGGCAAGTGCAGTAAGTTCCTACAGGTAATAGAGCTGACAAGAGGGAAGGGCAGACTAGCCCAATTGCCTGGCCTGCATCATCATGCCTGAGGGCAGGGGGTTGCCATTACCTGGACCCCCTAAGCCCTGAGCCTGCACATTTTGCCCATTTGGATATTTCTTTAATCAGGCTTTGTCTGCCACACATGGAAACTCATGTTATGGTATTCCAGGTTGTTCCCATTGACTGGAACTATGGGAGGGACCAATCAAGCCCCAAACTGGAAAATGAGGTGACTGCCCGTCACCTCAGACAGACCCTCTCTGCACCATTCATGCCTCTGCTGCTTGCTGGTGAGCCTTGACCAGAAATGAAGCTCTTCCAACTGTGAGACTCAAAGCCAGGAGCACTGCCCAGGGTGCTGCCTTTGGCAAGGTGTGCTGGGCTGTCTGCTCCCTCACTGGAACCATTGAGGCTTAAGTTGCTTCTCTGGCTGCCAGTGGTACATAGTGAGTCCAAGCAAAGCATCTTCAGATTAGACTCAGGTCCAAATGCTGCGGCCATCACCTTTTAGCTGTGTGACTCTGGGCAAATTACTTCACTGAAGATTCAGTTTCTTCTTTTTGTTGCTGTTACTGTTTGTTTGTTTGTTTTCAGACAGGGACTTATACAGTACAGGCTGGCCTAGAATGTAATAGGTAGTCAAGACTAATCTGGAGTCTAAAGGAAATGGAGAGGTTTTGGTTGAAGGGTACAAACTGCCAGTTACAAGGTAAAAGAGGCTGGCTGTGGTGGGACGGGCCTGTAACCCCACACTTGGGATGTAGAAGTAGAACGATTGAGAGTTCAAGGCCAGCCTGGGCTGCCTAGTGAGTTTGAGGCCAGCAGGGACCAGTCAGACCCTGTCTCCCAAAAAACAAATTGAACAAACAAACAAGATGATCAAGATCTGGGGGACCTCAATTGTCACCTGGTGACTGTGATTAATAATAGTGTATTATATGTTTATAGTCTGCTGAGATAGAATTTTCTTAAACATTCCTGGACGTACCCATTGACACACACATACATGCAAGGGTAGCCATGTGTGGTAGTGTGTGTTGATTAATTTAATTGTGATAACATTAACATAATGCATATATATATATAAAATCATCACACTGTCCATCTTGAATATATACAGTTTTTAGTGGAGAGTGGTAAGGATTGAACCTAAGCCCTCCCTCATGCTAAGCAAAGACTCTACTCCTAAGCCACACCCCCAACTTCATGGATACAATACCAGTTTTGTTAGTTACACTTCACTGAAGTTGGTGTGTGTGTGTGTGTGTGTGTGTGTGTGTGTGTGTGTAGGGGGTGTCCAACGTACTTTACAAGGTGATTGAAAGGTGTATTCTACATGGTTATAAGACATACTTCTGCTATTTATATTATTATTGCCCACTTCTAGACATAGACATGTTTTTTCTGGGTCAAGATTTAAGGGCTTGTTAGATGGCTCAGCAAGTAAAGTGCTTACCACTAAGCCTGACAACCTGAGTTTGATTCCTGGGATTTACCATCTCACATGGTGGAAGGAGAAAGCTGACTTTCTCAAGTTGTTCTCTGGCCCCTGCATGCATTCCATGGTGTATTGTGTACATGCTCTCTCAATAAACAAACCAATTAATTAATGTGATAATTAAAAAAAAAAAGAGTGAGGCAAGCAGCCATTTCAAACATGGTACCTGAGTTTTCAGATTGGTAGAAGGCTGAGAAGCACAGGACTCTTCTGTCCAGAAGAGTGCTGAAGGTTTGAACTCACCTGGACCCCATCTTGAGAATACTGGTGCTTGTCTGGTGAAGGGTGACAGTGAGATCCACACTCCTGAGCTGTTTAACCAGACTCTGGTCATAGATATCCTTCTGGAAAGGGTCCCTGTTGGTTACCTGCTGGTCTCTAGGTTTGCCGGCTGATGGTGACATGAGATTTGAATTATTTCTAGCAGAACCTTTGCAAATCAGGTTTAATTTAGCATAAAGGATTGAAACCTGGCCTTGTCGCTTTGCTGATTGTGTGATTCACTAAGCTTCACATTACTCATTTGTATAATAAAACAGAAATAATCATTCCTGCCTCAAAAGGACATTATAGTGCTCATGATAGATAAAGTTGAAGTGCATAGAGGAGATGTGTCAGTTCATTTTGTTTGTTCTGGGCTGGGCTAGGGAATGAGTGGGAATATGGAGACATATTGCCTTCTTACCAGGTGCCTGCTTATTGAGAGTCCCCCATTTTCTTGCCTTGGTAAATTTATCACCATTTAGGGGCCTGTATCTCGCTTATAGGTCTGAAGTTGGTCATTGTCATCCCAGAGTTTGTGGAATTTAGGATAAGCCATAATGCCCACAAGTAGCTTATTCTGAAAAGGACAGTTATGGCTGAACCAAGAATCGGTGAACTTCATCTCTACCAGAGTACTAAAGTGACGTGTAGCTACGGTCAGAAGTTGCTGGTGACCTCTGCCCTGGTAGAGTGGGCCTGTGGGCACCAACGTGTGTGGCATCCATTCTGATGGCCAGATGGTCCAGACATCCATTAGGGATTTGTCTGCCGGGGCACTGGCGCTCCCCTGGGCAAGGCAAGGCCTTTCCCCTCTGGGCCTCAGGGAATCAAGCTCCTATGTCCCCCTCTCCATTCTCATTTCTTCACTACCAAATCCCCTTTCTGACTGACACATTCTTTCTTTAGATATGCTAATGAAATCGATGAACAGTTGTGCACTCTGGCTTCTGCTGTGGGAAAGATTTTGTCTCTGAGATGCCTGTCAAATATGTTGCATCTTATCCATTATGTACCCATGTTTATAGCTGAACTCTCAAGAGTTAGAGGGAAAGGAGCCTACCTCGGGATCAGGGACAGACTCCAGAACACAAACTCTCTAGGTCCACTGCAAGCCCCTGCACCAGATTGGATCCCACTAGCTCTTTGTCAAGAAAGCTGTCACTTGCCTGAGAAGTTCCTGATATCGTCCTGAGACAGCATCCCCTTCAATTTGATTAGTGACAGAATGATTTGTGATATGTCATTTATTAACTTACTTTGTTTCCTAAGTGATCTCTATAATAATTATTATTAAAAAGATTAGATTATTTCCTGGGAACATAATTGATGGTGGCTGGACAGGGGACTCACTTGTATAAAGTTTATGTATTTGCCACTCCCCAATTCTCTACCTGTCTCTTTTAAAGTTCTTTTGGGTCATGGGAATAACCTGTGAAGCTTCCACATAAAAATGCCAAGAATGCTTTTAAAAAAAGCTAAAAATTTGAGCAGAGTAATGGTGTTTATATGAGTTTTAGGGGGTCTCTTACTCAGTGCCTGAAAACAACCAGAAACAGAAACACCTTCGTAAAAGACTACAATGATAGATGTGCAAAGTCTCCAGCCAGTTGTGGGTCAGAGATCTTGGGATTTTCTGTTGACCCATGAAGAGGGCAGAGCTTAGCTCTTTCTGAAAGAAGAGGGTCAGTGTAGAGGCTGCAAAGACAAAGATCATGGTTCTGTGTGGGTCGCAGAGGGAAGGTCTACAGCTGCTGGTGGATACATGGGGAAGACATAATAAAATAAGTGAGCTAAAGCCGGGCATGGTGGCACATGTCTTTAATCCCAGCACTCAGGAGACAGAGGCAGGCAGATCTCTGCGAGTTCGAGGCCAGCTTGGTCTCCATTAGCGAATCCAGGCCAGCTGTGGCTACAGGAAGACCTTGTCTCAAAAAGACCAAAAAAAAAGTGAGCTAAAGCAAAGGCCTTCAAAAGGAAAATAAACATTTCCCAGCTTGGGGGAGACCTTTATGGAATGCAGAGACCTAAACACTATGCAAAGGGTGTTAATTGGGAAAAGAGAGACAAGTAACAGTCAACACCCTAAATCCTCTCCGAAATCCACATAGACTTTAATTGGCAGATCTGTGTAAAATACTTGTCTGAGTGTCAGATGACCTTTAGAGTGGAAGCTGGTAGACACTGGAAAAAGGTTTTTGGATTTCATTTAACCTATACATGATGCAAGGTACTTTAAAAAGATTTTATTTATTTATTTATTATTTATCTATTTACTGAAACAGGGTCTCACTATGTAGCCTTGATTGGCCTGGAACTCCCTATGTAGAGCTGGCCTTGAACTCATAAAG